CCCTACTACTTGTAGTCAATTGCAGACCCCGCAGGAAGAGCCATGGACTTGACCTTGGACGTGGATACTACTCTACTATTCCAGCTGGATGAAGAGACCCTTTCCTTATCCCCCAGCAACAGCTCAGCCCATAAAAAGCCACCATACTTCAAACTCCCAGTTTACTCCAATGGACTTTTAGTTCATAACCGCCTTCCCCTTTCTTACCCCCTTTCTCCTTAAAAAAGTGTGCCGTGGGGCGCCCGAGTGGCTCAGTCGGATAAGCGTCTGACTCTTGATTTTGGCTCAGGTCATGATCTCGGTGTTGTCAGGGCTCCGCACTGAACATGGAACCTGCAAGGGAGTCTCTCTCTCTCTCTCTCTCTGCCCCTCTCCCCTGCTGTCTCTCTCTCTCAAAAAACAAAACCAACCAACCAACCAACCAACAAAAAACCGCATGCCTCTCACTTGTTCCCCAGGCATGCCTACAGTTCTGCTACAACTTATTTGTCCCAGGTTGCGATTCTCTTTTATTCCCAAATAAACCAGTCTTTTGCTGGTGGAATAACTGGCAGTTTTTATTTTTAAGGTTAACAGCTACATCCTTCAGGTACTCCACTGCCACTGGATGGAGAGCCGGAGTGGAAAGAGACATCAATCTTAAAGGATTACAGTTAAATATCTTACTTCTACAACATTTACAAGAACATACACCCAGGTGCTATGTCTCCTCCAGGGCCCCTGCAAGCAAGGGTCCCGAACCTGAGGCTTCACTATTGTCGAGATAAATCTACCCTATGAAATGAAGCTAGAAAATAAGTAAGGGGGACACTAGGCAGGCCCCTGCAGTTGTTAGGAGGGAGTTAGGACTCGATTCTAAGAGCAACAGGAAAACTTAAAGGGCTTTAATGGACGAGGATGGGGGTTACATGATTTGATTTATATTTCTCAAAGACTGCTCCGGTTTCGGCGTGGATGCTGGGCTTCAGGGAGGCAGGTGACATTGCTGAGGACATTGCTAAGGCAGCTGGTGGGCCTTCCCCAGGAGAGAGATGGCTTAGACTAGGGTGGGATGGGTAGAGGTAGTGGTTTGAAGGTTATTTTGGGGGCTGACTCAAATTCAGTAGAGGTGAGGTGGGCATCAAGAGGGTCTCCCAGGGGCGTGTGGGTGGCTCAGTCGGTTAAGCATCTGACTCTTGGTTTCAGCTCAGGTCGTGATCTCATGGCCCATGAGTTCAAAGCCAGCATCCAGCTCTGTGCAGATAACACAGATCCTTCTTGAGACTCTTCCTCTCTCTCTGCTCCTCCCCCTCTTGCTCTCTCTGTCTCTCAAAATCAATAAACAAAAACTAAAAAAAAAAAAAAAAAAAGTGTCTCCTAGGTATCTTCTTGAATGGTTGCTGTGACCCCACCCCCTGAGGTAGGAAAATGGGAGTTGGATGGACCTGTCTGTTCGACCTGTTGGAATCCTGTCTCTACCATTGCCAGCTACGTTACCCAGGACAGGTCACTTCTCTCTGGGCCATTTCCTCCTTGCAAAAGGAGGAAAACTAACATCTACCTTGTGAGGTTGCTCGAAGAGACCCTTTCCATAGGCCTAAAATGACGTCGCTGAGGCCAAGTCCCCAAACCAGGGCTTCAGGCGTAAGCTATTTGCAGTTGCAACCTCCCCCAGAAATGTAGTCTTAACTGGTCAGTCAGGAATTTTCTGACGGGGGTGCCACTGAGTGTGCCACAGGGGCCCTCTCCACCCCCTCCCCCCAAAAAGATGAGGGCACATTAATACCGCTCCCTCTTGCCCCCAAAGGAAAGCGAGCTTGCCTGAAACAATCCTTTTCTTTTGCTAACTTTCTTGCCACACTGCTCTTCCAAAACCTGTTTGGTATTTTTCCTTCTACTTGCTAGATGGAGTGCAGCCTGACTCACGAATCATTTAATAAAGCCAGTTAGATCTTTAAAATGTACTTGGTTGAATTTGTGTTATTTAACAAGAGTAAATGAGACCACCTATCAGGAGAAGCCTGGGATCTTATAAATAACCTATATGTTGAATGCCATTGTTGTTCCAAGATTTATTAGTATTTACTATGAATCTCAAGGGAGGAAACCAGCCTTGGATCCTTATTCTGTGGCATGATTTTTATTAGGTTCTAGCAATTGGCTTTGGCTATTGAAAGCAGTGATGTCCCCAGGCAAGAAAATAATTGCTGTCCCCAAAGGGCGGGTCAATGTGATTGATCTTTTTAATAACAACAGTAATAATAGCTAATATTTCGTGAGCATTTATTATTATCAGGTTCTTTACATGCTTTGTCTCATTTATCTCTTACAATATCTATGGCACAGGTACTTTTATTATCATCATTTCCATTTTACAGATAAGAAAACCTGAGGTTCAAGTGATTAAATAACTTCTCCAGGGACCCCTTAGGTAGTAAGTGAAAGAGAGGGGAGTCCATCCTTGGGAAACCTGGCAGAGGGGTCAGATCAGATCACCTTTCAGAATTGTTCTGTAAGGCCCGGCCCCGCCCCTGTCACCCCCCCCCCCCCCCACCCCCGCACTGGTGCTGTCCTAGGTTAGAACTCTTGACTGGAGGTACCAAGCCAGAGACTGCCAGTCAGGCCTGTGTCGTCCGGCCCGTCTCCGCCCCTCTCCCCGCCCCATCCCCTCGCCCCACCCCATCTCTGCCAACTGCCCCGCCTATCGCCCCTTACCGCCCCGCCCCTTACCGCCCCTCCCATATCCCCGCCCATCACCCCGCCCCGTCCTTTGCCAACCCCGCCCATCGCTCCGCCGCGCCCTCCCTGAAGCCCGCCAGCTCCCGCAGCGTGGCGTCTCCAGACTCGACGCGCGGACCCCGGCGACTAGTCCTCTAGCCCCAGCGTGGGCGCACCTCTCCTCAGAACCGGCGCCGAAAGTAGGGCGCAGTCTGAGGGGCCGGGAGGGAGCCGCGGGCTGAAGGCGGGCTGAGTGACGGGGGCCACGGCCACCCGCACCCCGACACGCGCGCCCCGCCGGCTCCTCAGCCGCGCGAGCCCCGCGGACCGCGCCTGAGAGAGAAACACCGTCGCCTGCAGCCCTTTGGGGCTGGAGGCGTGACCTGGAGGCGTGACCTGGCGCTTCTTCCCCTCGCGGGGAGGACCGGGCACCTGGGGTCACCTCTCTGGCCTCAGTTGCTCTCTCTGACTAGCCGGCCTTGAAGTCTGAGGAGACGTTTGTGGAGGAAGCCTTTGGCGTCCCTCGCCCTGGCGCTCGCCGTCCTTCCCTCACAGCCGTGGGCGCCCTCACCTTGCCTCCAGCGCCTTCCCCTTCCTTGCCACGCACCCCGTTTTGTCCCCATGAAGGAGCTCGCCCTCTGGCCCTCCCCACGTCCCGGAGCGTCCCCTCCGCTTGCGCCCCTCACCCCCTCCTGCGGGCGGCCGCCCTCCCCCTTCCCCTCTGCTCCTTCCCCCTCCTCCTCCCTCCTCCCCTCCTTCTCCCTCCTCCCCTCCTTCCTCCTCCTCCCCTCCTTCCCCCCTTCTCCCCTCCACTTCCCCCTCCTTCCCTCCGCCCCCCTCCTCCTCCTTGCCCCCTTCCTCCCCTCCTTCCCCCTCCCCCCTCGTCCCCTCCACCCCTTTCCCCCTCCTCCCCCTCCCCTCTGTCCCCCTCCCCCTTCCTCCGTCTCTTCCCACCCTCCTCCTCTTCCCACCCTCCTCCCCCTCTTCCCACCCTCCTCCTCCCCACCCCCATCCCCCTCAGTGCTCAGGGCCCTCTCTCAGCAGCGGCCTGTCCCTGGCTCCCAGTTCCCGGTTCTCTGGTTCTCGCCAGCTCTGCCTTGCTCCAAGCTAGTCCAATCCAGAAATAAACCTTCGAGAGTAGGGGTGGCAGGAAGGTTGGGGGGGGGGTGTCGTTGGGGAGGGTAGAATATGTACTCGGGAAAAATCAATATCTCAGATTGAAAAGCAGAGTTGTTTTTCCTTAAAATACGTCAATAACCATATACCTGGGAGCAATTTTATAAGATAAACTGGAATGTATTCCAAGATACCAAACAGTAAAAAGAATAAAGTGAAACCAAGGCAGGCACAGGCCATAAACATTAAAATCTCCAGCTCTACCATTGGGGAATGTGGTTTTGCAGATTGCCTAACTTTTCATTTTGGGGCCAGTGATTTGATTTTTGGGGTGGAAATTGTGCATTGATCAAAATTCACCTAAATCTTGAATTCTGTGGCTGATTTTGTTTTTGTGTTCATTTTGTCTCAATTTTCTCTTTTAGTCAGCAATTCAAGTAGAAAAGAAGCAAAAAGGCTTTTATAGTGGAAGCTTAAGATTTCTTATATGAGCAATAATCTGATTCTTCACTAGAAGTCAAAGTATTATAATATGCCTTTGCTTAGAGGAGCCTTATGATATTCTCAAAGATACCACAATTCGTAGAAATGTGCATAAACTGTTTTAGTTCTGGGTGAAGTTTTGTTTTCACCATTCTTGTTTGAAAACGTTTAAATTCGATTCTTGTTTTCTTTCTTGCCTTTCGATTCTTTTCCTTTAGTTTCTGTTTCCTTCATTTTTCCACTTTATAGTCCTTTGGAATTCCATTATTTTAACTTCAGAAGTTAATAAATTGCTGACTAAACCAGAGTATCTTGAAGAAAACAAAGAAATTCAACACCTGGTTATAAATCAATAGTCCAACATTTCTCAAATTCCTAAGTTTTAGAAAAGACGTGACATGTGTTCGCTTTTCTTAGTTTTTGTGTGCCTTTTCCTGTTCTGTTGTTTTTTTTCCCTATTTCCATCCTATTTTTCCCAGGCCTCCGCCTCTATTTATTTGACCTTATTAATAAGAGAACTTAAATTCTTTGTAGGAAAAAGTAAGTAGAATGTAGGAAACCGTCAGTGATCAGAACACATGTAAATCGGGTGTGGTTCACAATCTAATAGAGTTCTCATTAGTTTATAATTTTGTATTTTACATAATGGCTTCTTTACAAGAAACTGAATTGAATAATAGCTTCAATTGGAAGATAATCTGTTACAGAAATGATAAAAAGTGCTTTTGCTAAGAAATAGCACGGAAATGTTTTTGTAATCAAAATTTAAATATTTTTTAATGTTCTCTCTAGTTTGTTAAATACCCCTAAGGAATACAGGAAACATGTTCTACACACATGTGCTTATGAGTAAGCGAGGGCCGTTGGCCAAAATCTGGCTTGCAGCTCACTGGGAGAAGAAACTCACAAAGGCTCATGTATTTGAATGCAATCTAGAGATAACCATTGAAAGAATTATTTCACCTAAGGTATGTTATTGATTCAAATTATAATATGTATTTGGCATGATTTATGGAGAGGAAAGGAACTAAAATATGTTTTATCAGAAAATGCATCTCCAAGGAAGTTTTACTTTTTTTTTTTTTTGGAAGTTTTACTTTTGAAATGGTCTTCTTTAATTCCTATAACATTTATTACCTGAGCACAAACATATGTCAATTTCGGTGGGTAATTAACTGTTTTCATATGTTTATCATAAATAGATTAGACCCTGGAGGAGGAAGGTCATATTTTGTACATGTTTTGTAATCCTTTCTTATTCCCTTCGCAAAATACTGTAGACACAGTAGGTACCAAATAAGTATTTCTTAAAAAAAATAGTGAGTGAATGAATATGGAGAATAGAAAAAAAGAATGAGTATAAATCAAAATATATATGAAAACACTTCATACAGTACTATGTTCATAATAAAATACTGTAAGATATTAGAATTTGCATTAAAATATTATTTTAATATTTTTAGAAGTTAAGTATTTTTTCTGCTTGCAAGAAGGATGAATAATAATTGAAAACTTTCCATGTGTCAGGCACTGGGCTAGACTTTACATTCATTAGATCATTTAATCTTCACATCAACCCTGTGAGATGGGCTTCTTTGAGCCTCAGTGAAGTGTGATAGTTAAGAGCATGAACTTTTGAGTTAGTCAAACTTAATTCCTGCTCCATTTCTTGGTAGTTTTCTTACTTTGGGCATGCTACTTACCATATCTGAATCTCAGGCTTTTTTCTTCTGTAAACAGAGGTTCATATCAAAATTAAGTAATACATGAAGAGCTCTTAGGACAATTCCTGGCACAAAATAAGTATATAATAAGTGTAACCATTATTAATAAATTGAAGTTCAAGAAGATTGAACTTCAAGTCTCAGCAACTAGGCCAAAACTTGAACCCAAGTCTGCCTGACTGTAGAGTTTATATTCTTCCGTGAAACTAATAATCACATATTTCACTTAGATGGCACATTAGATTATCTTCATTGAGTAAGAACAAAGGTTAATCATTTTACAAGATGAGGTAGAAGTTAAGTGATTCACTTTTTTTTTTTTTTTTTTGATGTTTATTTTTGAGAGAGAGAGAGAGAGAGTGCAGGTGGGGGAGGAGGGGCAGAAAGAGAAGGAGACACAGAATCTGAAGCAGGCTCCAGGCTCTGAGCTGTCAGCACAGAGCCTGACGTGCGGCTCCAACTCACGGACCGTGAGAGCATGACCTGAGCTGAAGTGGGACGCTTAACCAACTGAGCCACACAGGCATTTCAAATAATTCACTCTAAATAAGAATACAAGGAGCCCCTGAGTGTCTCAGTCGGTTGAGCAACCGGCTTCAGCTCACGGTCTGTGCTGACAGCTCAGAGCCTGGAGCCTGCTTCGGATTCTGTGTCTCCCTCTCTCTCTGCCCCTTACCTGCTCATGCTCTGTCTCTCTCTGTCTCAGAAATAAATAAACATTAAAAAAAATAAATAAATAAAAGAATACAAAATGTCTTCTTTTTAAAGAGAAGGAATTCTATGATTTTATAATTTTCAAACAGGGTTTATGAATCTAATTCTCAATATTCTAACGCTTTAAAAATTCTTGAAAGGTGAAAATTGCACTTCGAACTTCAGGACACCTTCTTTTGGGAGTTGTGCGAGTCTATAATAGGAAGGCAAAATATCTTTTGGCAGATTGCAACGAAGCATTGCTCAAAATGAAGATGACATTTTGCCCAGGTATACTTGCAACATTGATTTGTCTCACTCACCTTGTTTCTCTTTTGCATTTTTATTTTGGGTGGGCTCTTTTAATTGGTGGCGCTCCGTGATTCCAGCGTGTATATGTGAATATAAACTTCCTTTTCACTGATTCTAAGTTTCCGTGGTTAAGGACAAATTATATTCTTTCCCTTGCTCTTTACCTGTGTTTGCAAGAAAAGCTTGTGCTTTCAAACACTTGTAAAGTTCCCGCGTATTTACATAAGAAATCTACTTATGTAAGAAATTCTGATATTCAGTTTTAATGGATTGCTTAATTTACCACATTTATTTTTGCCTGTATGAGATAAATTAGAAATAGTGTAATTGACAAAGCCTAGATATCATAATTGTCATTGTTTTCAGAATTCTCAAGACTGTAAGTAGCTTAGGTTGTTCTTACTATTTATGAAACATAAAAAATTTTTAACGTTTATTTATTTTTGACAGAGAGACAGAATGTGAGTGGAGGAGGGTCAGAAAGAGAGAGAGAGAGAGACACAGAATCTGAAGCAGGCTCTAGGCTCTGAGCTGTCAGCACAGAGCCTGACCTGGGGCTCAGACTTTCCAGCCTTGAGATCATGACCTGAGGTGAAGTCAGACGTTTAACCTACGGAGACACCCAGGCGCCCCAAAATATTGTAGAAAATCTCTAGACCTTCCAGAGTGCTAGAGATTTACATGTGTCATAAATATGATGGCTTCAAATTTTAACTTAATGTTAAGACATTCATCATTTCCACCTTGTGTTATGGTTATTTAGGTACAGGCCTTGTCTCTCACACTAGTTTGTAAGTTCCTTGAAGGCACTATCTTTGTTGTGATATTTTCTAAATCTCTTATAGTACTTGTCTCAGTGTCTTGAACATACTGTTCCCTCAATTAATATTTACTGAATCAGGGTTGACAGGTTGTTTTTCTTTATTTAAAATATTTGTAAATTCTCTACGTAGACTTATACTCATATCAAATATGGTTCATTTGTCCATTCTTTCATTTATGTGATCCACAAATATTTATTGATGCCATACTTTGTGCCAAACACTATTTTAAGGCTCTGGGATACAAGGACAAATAAGGCAAATAAGGTCCCTTTCAGTTTGGAGAGGATATCAGATAATAAAAAAGTTTTTTAAAATTATTATAATAATTGTAGATAATGATCGTGCTATGCAGGAGTCTAAACAGAGTATTACAACAAAAAATAGCCGAAAACTTTACTTGCATTAGGCTAATTAGAAAAAGCCTTTCTAGAAAGGGTAGAATTTAAGCTCAAACTTGAAGAATGAGAAGTACCCAGCCATGTAAAAAGTCCCTGAGGGAATAGCATTCCGGGCAGAGGGGAACTGTCAGAGCAAAGGTCTTGAGGGGGAAAAGTGCTTAATTTGTTCAGGTAACAAAAAGGCCAGTGTAGCTAGAGTCTAGTGAGTGAGGGAAAGATCCTTCGATGATGCTGACAGGTTTGTACAGCTGCAGAGGTTCTGATTAGAAATTTGAATTTTATTTAATACACTGGGGAAGTCACTGAATCACTTTAAGCATGGGAATGAGCTGAGCTGATTGCTCTTTAAATATTTTTAAATACCACTCTGGCTGTTTATAGAGAATGGGACCGAAGAGGGGCAAGAATTGGGAGTTTCTTATATAGCATTATTGCTCATTGGATGTGGTTTTTTTATTCTTTTCAGGGCTGGTTGACCTTCCAAAAGAGAATTTTGAAGCTGCTTACAATGCTATCACATTGCCAGAAGAGTTTCATGATTTTGACACCCACAATGTGAAGTAAATTATTTTTTCATTTTCCTTCAATTTAATTTTCTTTTAAAAAAAAAGTTTATTTATTGATTTTGAGAGCGAGAGGGAGAGAGGGAATGCGAGTGAGGCAGGGGCAGAGAGAGAGGGAGAGAAGAATGCCAAGCAGGGGCTCAAGCCCACTAACTGAGATCATGACCTGAGCTAAAATCAAGAGTTGGAAGCATAACCGACTTGAGCCATGCTGGCGACCCTCAATTTGATTTTCTTGCTTTCATCTTCAGATTTCATGAATACAAGTGGACTCTAGTTAAGAACTGAAATACACATGCAGTTGAGAAGACTTAAGTTTAGCGTGAAACTTTGAAATATAACACCAAAAATGTATCATCATATTTGCTGAATGTAATTTGCGATATTAACAGTATGTTCGTCCATTCCTTCGGTAAATATGTATTGGGTTCCTTCCGTATGCCAGGCACTGCTCTAGACACTGAGGACATTGAGCAACAGCTTCTGCCTGCAAGAATCTTACATTTTAGACAGACAATAAACAAAGAAATATACACTTTGCCAGTAAATGATCAGCAATATGAAAAGAAACAGAAAATAAAGAAAAAAATGATAGGATTCTCAAGAAAGGGTTTTCTAATAAGGTCAGAACTGAAACCTGAGGGAGGTATAGGAACAAATCATTCAGTAATGTGGGGAAGAATGTTCCATGTAGAGCAAGTGAGAAGGCCCTAAGGCAGAACACATTGGACCTTTTCTGGGAACAGCAAGGAGGCAAGTGAGACTGTGCTGTAAACGACGGTCTGAGTGGTAGGAAATGAGAGGTAGTTGAGGGTGCAAATGATGTTGAGTGTTGCAGGCCACAGGAAGGACCTTAATTTTATTCAGATAGGGAGCACAGGAGGGTTTTGAATAGGAGAGTGACAGATCTGACTTGATTTCAACATGCTTCTTCCCCTTTACTTAGTATAAAGGGGAAAGGGAGGAAGCAGAGAGCCTCTGAGAAAATTATTTCAGTAAGAAGTCCAGATGACCCTCCCACCCAACACCTACTCAGGGCTGCAAGGGAAACTCCACCCCACCTCTTACCAGGAGCTGCTGCAGGCAGAGCCCAGCACTGAAAGGGTCTCCCCCCTCACACCAGGCCTATCACCCCGCCCCGTTGATCTGGAAGCGAAGGCCCAGGGTACATGGGGGGAGAAGGGCAGTGAAAACAGTTAATGCCTTGAGTGGGGGATGCCAGGATTCATGGCTGGGAGGGACAGGAAGGGGACATGACCGCCCTGCCCTATCTGTGGGAGCCTGAGGGCCCAACTAGGGGCACGCGCCTTTCCCACCAGCAGCCCACAGACGTGGGATCAGGATGCCAGGCCTCTGTGTCCTTGAAGGGACCCTCCTGTGGTCTTTAAATAAATGGTGCTATCCCTGCCAAAAAAAAAAAAAAGAAGTCCAGGTGTGAAATGACAGTGTCTGTAATCACTTCTCAGTCTTCATGTTATCAAGGTGGTAACAAATTATGAATATATTTTGAAGACAGAGCCAACAGAATTTGCTGAAGAATTGGATATGGCTTTAAGGAAAAGAGAAAAGAAGGATGACTACAGTCATCCTATAGTCACAGATAAATTAGGCTTTAGACATAAGTTTTGAGATGATTGTTACACATCCAAGGGGAGTAGGCAAGTAGTTGAATATCTGGGTCTGAAATTCAGGAAGGAGGTCTGGATGGGATAGATAAATTTAGGAGTTGTGAGTATATAGATGGAATTTCAACCCCCAGAGAGTGAGTGTAATTATTTTAAAAGAGAGAGATCTGAGAACAGAGTGTTGGGTCATTCCTAATAGCTGGTAGTCTGGGAGATGAGGAAGGACTAATGAAAGAAAAGGAGCAGCCAATGAGGTAAGGAAAAACTCAAGAGAAAGTAGTATCCTGGAGGTGAAGAGAAGAATACCTTCCATGAGGGAGTGAACATCTGTTTCAGATGCAGTTGGTTAGAATAAGTAAGACAAGGACTGAGAATTGACCCCTGGGCTCAGCAACCCAGAGACCATTTGTTATATATACATGTGTAATCAACTAGTGTGTATAAATAATACTATTGAGGAAATAAAAGTTTATTTTTTATAATAAAAGCTGTTTTTTGTTTTAGAGTTTTGGGCTTTTTTTCAGTATACTGCAAAATGCTTGTGTTCTGTTGGCATATTTTTCTCAATTGTCTCAATCTTATGTTTCTCCATAGTGCTATTGATGTTTCAGAACACGTTACTCAGAACCAAAGCAGACCAGAAGAAATCACACTTAGAGAATATTACAATAATGATCTACTGTTCCAAGCTGGGAGCTTTGGTGAGACTCTTTGAGAAATTAAAATCACAAGCTATAATCAATTATAAAATATAATTGCATTTTTGCAATTATAAAATAATTGCAAAATTATTTATAAAATAGAAGCATAATTGCAAAATAACTTATAAAATATATATGCATTTTTGTATTGAAACCATGTCAATAGAAATAGCTATCTTTAGAATGGATGTCTTGATGTCTAAATGCAACTCTCAGTAAGTTTATCTTTACCTTGTTCTAAATAGGTGTTAATACCAAGACTCAGTCTTAGGCTATAAACTTCCCTTCTTAGTCTGCAGTCCTTTATTGAAGACTTACTATATGTCATGTTCTATCATAGGCATAGGCAGTACAAAGTTTGCAGAAGCACTTCCTGCCCACAAGGAGCTTCAGGCTGGGAGAGAGATATGCAAATAAACATATATATATATATATATATATATATATATATATATACACACACACATATATAGTAATATATGTGTATAAATACATATATATTACATAATACACATATATTACATATAACCCTAACACTATATATATATATATGTGTGTGTGTGTGTGTGTGTGTGTGTATAGTGTTTTACGTGTGTGCTGTATATCATGCCTTCAAAGTATGAAAATTTCTCCAATATATGATGATATCAATTGTAAAATGAAAAAGTTTATCATGGCTTGGGACTGAGGAGGAAATAACACATGTTAAATATATACTCATTGATTATAAAACAAACTGTTGAGTATATTTTATAATTAAGCTGTTCTTTTTATGGCATTTACCTCTGTCTTGAACCATTATATTATGTACGTCCTGTATTGATCTGAAAACTCCATGAGGATAAAATCTGTGTCGTATTCACGTTTGGTTCTCTTATAGTGCCCGAAGCAGTGAGTGTAGAAGAAGGGTGGCTTAACTCTGTGTTCCGTGGGGGAGGGTGGTCAAGCCAGTAATGCTTGAACTACATCTCCAACCTCCATTTTTCATCCTTACTCTTCTCCTGTAACTCTTTCGATCTACAGCTGTGTTCTTAAATGATCTGTGGTGTGGGACAAATTTTAGAATTTTTGTTAATTTCCAGTCTGTCATGGAATGATGCTTTTGTAAAATCCAGAAAAATTGAAAGTTTAAAAATCAAAATATACGCTTCAATTTTTCTTATTAAATTCAACATATATAAAATTACTCTGTGAAATTGCTATCAAATTTTTTAAACATTTACCTCGAGTCTGTGTATTTACTCTATCATGGACAAGCACCAACCCACAGACCATATTTTGAGTAGCCTGGATCTCTCACTCTCTGTAATCCCAGGCCTTAAAATGTAATACATTGGCAAAGAGTTAATCATATTTCCTACTGCCAAGACACTCTTTACACATTTCCCTATAAACACTACTGCTGTTCTTTAGGCCTAAAACTTTAGGATCACTTTTTTTTTTTTTTTTTGAGAGAAAGAGACAGAGCATGAGCGGGGGAAGGGCAGAGAGAGAGAGAGACACAGAATCTGAAGCAGGCTCCAGGCTCCAAACTGTCAGCACAGAGCCCGACACAGGGCTCGAACTCACAAACTGTGAGATCATGACCTGAGCCAAAGTCGGACACTTAACCGACTGAGCCACCTAGGCGCCCCTAGGATCACTTTTAACTACACTTTCTGTAAGCTTTATACCAGTGCTGATTAACGACAACAACAACAACAAAATTGGACATGTCTCTTAGGTCTTCTATTTCTCTAGCCACCAGTATAGTTCACCAGTACTAAAGGCCTGGAGTAATACCCTCCTACACATCTCACAGTCTCTTCCCACATTTTATGTAGCTCTGCAAGAGCAATTGTCCTTAAATTCCATTTTTTTTTTTTTTCGTATCACATTCCTCTACTTAAATACCTTGGGTCCTTATGACTTATTTTAGACACCCTGCCTATCCTCAAGGGCCTCTATCAATTTATCACCTTCTGTATTTTATCAACTTTATTTGTTTTACTCTTGATACAGACTTTTTGCTCTAGTTAAGAAAACATATTACCAGCCAATAATTTAGTGGTTCTCAGTCTGTGTCTCCTACAATTCAAAAAGGGGGAAGAGCATTTTCTCAGTGTACGAACAGATCTGAGTTTGCATCAGCTTTTTCTATCGCCTTGCTGTGTGATACTGGGCAAATCACCTAGCTTCTCTGAGACTTACTACCCTATTTGTAAAATTGAGATACGACTAGCCGCATCACAGAGTTATTTCCCTCATTCCCTCCTTCAGTTCTTTTCACCAATAGGTGATTTTTCTCTCTTTCAAAAACTAGCTCAAACCTAATGTCTTCTAAGAAATGTTTAATATTAATCCATCCTATTCTGAATTACAATGTAAGATTGAAAGCAATGATCATTTCTTTAATTTATTTGAATAATCTCAGGTTCTTGTGATGCTCAGTGCTCCGAATATAGTGTCTGTTCAAAAATGTTATTATCTTACTGACCAAGGCTAGTTTTTCTTTTGAGAGCTTTCAAGCTGCTCCTGGAAGATATGAACATAGTTTTAGTTTCCTTTTATTTTTTATTTTTTAGCCTTTTCTGTTGAGCAAATCTTTAATCCAGTACAATGAAGCTTGCCTTTTTCAACTCTTCCTTCCTACAAGATAAAAGCCTATAGAAGAATTTTAATATAAGTGATACTGCATGATTTTGTGAGCACTAACAAACATGCTAACATGGGTTAGCACTAACATGGGTTGTGAGAAAGGGAGGAGAACGACAACCTCTGTCTGATCTCTGGGGTTTCAGACTCCTGGACCTAGAGATTCAAACCCATGGAAGGGAAAGAATATTAAGAATATACATGTGCTGGCAACCAATCTGGAAACAAGTCAGTTTGAAGCCAGGAGTTCATTCTACCTGCTACTGTCAGTGTCTTAAGAGTTTGCTCTCATAAGTCTCCATTTTGCAAAATATTTTACCAGTGTAAGTTTTAACTATCACTGTCTCCGCTGGGTTCAGATCCTGGCTTTGTCATTTATTAGGGTATGACTGTGTGCAAATTATAAAACCTTTCTATGGACATGTTCCCTTGTCTAAATTTAGGATTATAATAGTATCTTCTATTATGTAATATAATGCACATAATAAGTACTCGGTTAATGTTAGCTGATTGGGTTTTGTCTTTTTTATCACTGTATCTCTAATACCTAGCAGATTGCCTAATACCCTTTCATTAAATACTTATTGAATGAATGTTGTAAACCCATTATTTAATATTTTATCTACCTTTCCATTCCCAAGAAGGCAGATGTGCTCCTTATTTTCCAAATCCCCACTGTGGATAAACAATGCAAGCAATTGTACTTGAAATAACATGAAATAATACTTGATCAAGCAGGACATGACTATCTAAAGTAGAAGAAATCATTCTGGGAAATTATTAAACTGAACCACAACTAAAGACTCTATCCTAATGTTTTTTCCCTATTGTTTTGGGAAAAGCGTTAGACTAGAAATCCAGCCTCTACTGATTAACTGAATGACTTCAGTTGACTATGCAAATAAGTTTAGCTCTCATTTTTCTTATCTGTAAAATGGGATGGTCTGTACAAGAAGATATCTGAATTTCCATCTAACCCTAAAACTCTATGTTTCTATGGCTAACTCAGTATTAATGATATGTATTTATTTAGGGGAGGAATCTGAAGTTCTCAGAAGACATAGCTTTTTTGATGACAACATATTGCTGGATTCCAGTGGTCCTTTAGTTGAACATAGTTCCGAAAGCCTCATTGGAGAAAAATCTCTGTTCTATGACAGTGGAGATGGATTTGGAGATGAAGGGGCTGCAGGAGAAATGATTGGTATGTTGTCTGGTTATATAGAAATTGCATATTAAAAAAAGAAATTGGATATTTATTTCAGTCATGCTAAGAATGTATTAATAGGCTTATTATATTAAACTAAAATGTCAGGTATGCCCCGTGTCATATAAATCAATGCATTTTTTTAAAGTTTATTTATTTAGGGGCACTTGGGTGGCTCAGTTGGATAAGCATCAGACTTCGGCTCAGGTCATGATCTCGCGGTTTGTGGGTTCAAGCTCCGCATCAGGCTCTGTGCTGACAGCTCAGAGCCTGGATCCTGCTTCGGATTCTGTGTCTCCCTTTCTCTCTCACTCTGCCCTTCTCCTCCTCATACTCTGTCTCTCTCTGTCTCTGTCTCTCAAAAATAAATAAACATTTAAAAAAATAAAGTTTATTTATTTTGAGAGAGAGAGAGAGAGAGCACACGCGTGCACGTGCAAGAGGGTCAAGGGCAGAGAGAAAGAGAGAGAGAGAATCCCAAATAGGCTCCACATTGCCAGCACAGAGCCTGATGTGGGGCTCTATTCCGTGAACCGTGAGATCATGACCCAAGCTGAAATCAACCAACTGAGCCACCCAAGGGCCCCTAAATAAATACTTTTTTTTTTTTTAGTCAATACATTTTTTACATACATTTTCAAAGTCTGTGGTGTATTTAAACATTTAGGCTAGATCTAAGTAAATAGGCATCTATTTACACACATTTTCCCTAAAGGTTATAAAATACTACTTGTTTTTATTTTTACAAATTCTTAATTTTTAGAGGGGAAGGAATGAAGTTAGTGTATTTCCTCACAAGATATATTAGATCGTATATTGGAATCATTGTTTCCCTTAAGAGAAATTGTGAAACAGCTATTCTAAGGATCTGTCCAACATTTTATATTGTAATTTTATATTTATATCATGATGTTACTATAAAAGAATCATAGAAATGGAGTAGACAAAAACTGGGAAATCTGAATACACATACCTGTATTTTAAAGATAGTGATGGTTATATAACAAGTCTTTTTTAGATTCTCTAGTTTACTTTAAAGGACTGGTTGTGGCAAACTTTTTGAAATTTCAAAATTATGAAAAAATAGTGGTTCTACCTTAGGTATCTACCAAAGAAGTTTGAAAGCTTTCACTTCTTGATTTGGAGTTTAAACATGGCTTTGTAACAAGATTACTATCACAGTATTAGTTTAGTAAATATCTCCTGAAATTAAACATCTATTTAATAAGGGAAAGGAAATAAAATATATAAAGTTCTATATTATCCTGCATGAAATATGATAGTCTATGTAGCCAATCAAATCTACTTAAGTAAGGTTGATTCATTTTTGTATCTGTTTATAATCCTTATATACAAAAATGTCAATTAAACGTTTAGTGAAAAAATGACAGATTCAATTCTGTGACAGAAGTATTTATTGTGTTTTTCAAGACAATCTATTGCAAGATGACCAAAATATCCTGTTAGAAGACATGCATTTGAACAGAGAAATTTCCCTGCCTCCTGAGCCTCCTGATACTATAGTGGGTATGATGAAATTATCTTTTGTGTAGAAAGTGAACAGATACTGATGTTCAAATTAAACCTTACAACTTGCTCGGTTTAAGTAGCAATATAATGTAGTGAAAAATAATAAAGAATGTTGTCCCTCAAACTCTTTTGAGTCTGACTGTAGACAATATGGAATAGGAAACTAGGTTCCGAGAAAGGTACAACAGTGGTATTTAACCAGGATTGGGTTTATTTGATATGAGAGCACATCTAAATACTCTGGCAAAATACTATGCCTTTGAGTCATTAAAATAATATGTGTTACATGTTAGAAACATCATTAATATTTGACATTGCTATGATTATTAATTATTAATATTAATACCATATTGACATTAATATAACTGGACAATCTGTATACAATTTGAGAGAAATTACAAATGTGGGGATATTTTCTACTTGAAATTCATGTGAAGGTACCTCAGATCATTTGAAGTATTTTTGTATGATTTTTCTTAAGAATTGAAAGTACAAATAGCCCCATTTTGATTCCTCATTCTTTCTTATGTTACATTTGCTTCCTAACACATAGTAGAAATTTAAAATGTGAAAAAGAGAGATGATATAAATTTATTTATGGTCCTTTATGGGTCAACTAATAATTAAGTATTAACAGAATACAAATTAAAAAAAAATTTTTTTAACATTTATTTACTTTTGAGAGAGACAGAGCATGAGCAGGGGAGGGGCAGAGAGAGAGAGACAGAGACAGAATATGAAGCAGGCTCCAGGCTCTGAGCTGCCAGCACAGAGCCTGATGCAGGGCTTGAACCCACAGACTGCAAGATCATGACCTGAGCCGAAATCGGTTGCTTAACCGACTGAGCTACCCAGTCACCCCCAGAATACAAATTTTTTTTAGCAGACACAATCAACTTTATGTCAGTCATTTACTGTGGTTGCTACCACTGTTTCTACTAAGTCCAGCCTTAGATGTCACATGTGCAGAAGAAGGTGACGATGCATGACTCACCTAGACACTGGGCCCCAGACCATATAATCTCTGTGTCTCTTCAACTCTCTTAAGTACATGATTCTAAAAATCAGTTTTGGCTCCAGTTAGCAATATAAATCTTCCATTAGTTTATCTTTTGCTTTCATTCTCATATTATTTTTCTAATAATTCTTTTTATGGTGATGTTATTAGTAGAACCAGATAATTCAGAGTGTATATGTCCACCTGAAAATGAAAAAATGGATGAAATCACATTATCAAATGAAGAACATGGATTTACCCTTGACCCAATTGATGTTTCAGGTCAGCGTCATTCATGGTTTTGTTTTTTATTTTTGTTACGCTACTATCTTATTTACTGTGAGATAATCTGTGAAATATTATAGGAAGTAGCCAACCTAGTAATAACATTTGCAATACAATAGGGAAAGGGTAGGGAAAGAGTGTGGAGGAAATTTGAGGTGATTCTTTCATTATAGTCAGTCCTGGTCAAACCATACACCCAGTTTGGGAAATTGGAAAATATAAAACTCAGTTCAATGCCAGTAGTTATTGAACCATTACTCTCTGTTGGGCACAGGAGTTAAGAAGACATAGTACCTGCTTTTTTTGTTTTTTTTTTTTTAATGTTTATTTATTTATTTTGAGAGAGAGAGAGAGAGCGTGTGTGCAAGCCAGGAAGGGGCACAGAGAGAGGGAGAGAGAATCCCAAGCAGACACCACAGTGTCAGCGTAGAGCCCAATGAGGGGCTTGAATTCACAAACCATGAGATCATGACCTGAACTGAAATCAAAGCATCGGATGCTCAATGACTGAGCCACCCAGGTACCAACAATAGTACCTGCTTTTAAGAAGCTTGTAGTCTGATTGGAAAGATAAATAAACATGCACATGCATATAAAATAAGGCAGAGTAAAAGGATCAGAAGAGAGGTCTGTGCCCTCTGACATTTAACCTGAAGCATATTTTTAGGAATAAAAAATAAATATGAATATAATATATAACTTGACCTTGTAAGAACATCCTGGTTTCAAGTAGTATAATTGATATGAATTTCAGTTATAAACTCAGGCATGCAAGGAATAAAGCATTGAAGTTTTTTTATTTACCACATTCAACTCTGAGCCTCTATCCCACTGGGTTGGCAAAAGTTTCAATCTGTATAGCTCCCCTATCTATCCTAAGCCATGTGGTATCAAAATTTGGGAGAGGAGTGTGGCAGGTGGAAGGGAAACTTTGGTCATCAACCACAACAGTTTGTGGTATCTACTGTCCCAGCCCATATAGCCTCTGGGGTCATCACACAACCAGCCCTTCTGGATCTTGTCATGTTCCCAGGATTTTACTAAGGCACGTTAGCAAGCAGGTTACTGTTCCTTCTGGTTCCATCTGATCTCAGATCTTCATCCATTCTGGGAAATCTAACCCTCCCCTTTTGCATACTTGGAATTTGTGTATGAATTTCAATGGAGGAGGGAAAAATATACTTGACAAATACAAATTAATGTTTCAGAATATCCTGTTATATAGATATCTTAGGGAACCTCAAAATTGAGCAACTTCCCTCCCATTATGTTCTCTGCTCCACATTTCCTGAGTTAATCTACCTGGTAGGTCAACAGAGTCCCTCCTAAGCACTTTGAAGGAACACGGTATAAACTGCATCAACTATTGGCTGCTCAGATACTCTAGCTGTGCAAAAGTCTCGTGAAGCATAATTTTCAGTAGAGAGAAAGGGATATTCGTCCCATGGCAACTCTGTAGGTTGCATTGTGGTAGACATTTCTTAGGCATGCAGTGTCTAGAATATCATTTTACAAAGCTATACAACCAATCCCATTTGTGTTTATTTCTTATATTTAGACCTTGCTGAGAAAAGAAAAGGCAAAAAGAGGAAATTGCTCATAGATCCAGTCAAGGAGATCAGTAGCAAAATTATGCATAAACAGCTTACTTCCTTTACGGACACACTCATGGTTTTGGAACTTGCACCTCCTACCCGAAGATTGATGATGTGGAAGAAGAAGGGAGGAGTGGACATACTTCTGTCAAGTCCTGCCCAGGATATGACTCATGCGGAACTGAAAATGGTAATAGTTTCCATCTTTTTACATAGTTGCAGTGCTTGGTTATAAATAAATAAATGCATATTTACGTTCATGTATACAACAGAATATAAACTGGTGAAAAATACTCCCTTACTTTTGAATTAATTTGCTTGATGTGTGTGCCTGAATTATAGTTTTCACTTTTTAGCATATGTGCTTGTATTTTATTGAATTGCTTTGCTTGTTCAAAAGCAAGTAATAGGAGTGTATATTTTTACAGTTGTTTACAAAGTGCTTTCTGTCCTCTGGCTTTAAACTTGGAAGGAAATTGATACAGAAGGAATCAGTAAGGGAAGAAGTGGGAAATGAAAACATAATAGGTGAGACATCCTAACTGTTGGTGTTGAGGGGATTGTTATAGAAACAAAAGTGTCATTTTATATTTCAAAATGAAGATGGGATCCAATTCCATATTCCCAAGTATAACTGCTATCTCTAGAAGAATATTTCAGCTTAAGAGAAATTGTTACATCAGCATTGCCTTTTTTCTTTGCAGATTAATTTTTGTTCAACAAGTACACTAAAAAGATGAAGTATATATACTATGTGGATTCCTCCTAATCTCACTCCTTCCTACCTCCCTCATCCCTACAGGCAGTACTCACAAAACTTCAACAGATAAAACTATTTTATCTTGTAGGATAGTGTTTCACTTTAAGACAACTAAAAGGAAAAGTCACCTAGTGATAAGAATAGCATTTCAACAGTACAATGAATCTGAGATGTAGAAATTTCCATCCACCCAGAAGCTACTTGGAGTATTGATAATTGCTGATTATTATTGTGACTATTCTAAAGGAATAATAAAACCAGCTTATGTAACGAGTGAATCTCTGCTTCGTGATCACCTGCCCTGAAGGCATTAAAATCTGCCACACAATACACCAAGATGGGCTTGAACTAACCATGTTATCTTGTGAATGCCTGTTTGGGAGTGAGTGTGGAGGAGATAGTAGGTGGACCATGGGGAGGGAGGTGATAAGAAGCAGACAAGGGACAAGGGAAGATAAATATGTGAGACTTGGGAAACTATAAGGAAGTTTGTGTACACTTTGCTTAAATTCTTAGATTCCAAGTTTTCTGTCAGAAGTTTTCTTTTGTAACAACCATATCCCAATTTAAGTTTGAAAGATAGTTTGGTGAAATCTTCTCTACTTACTAATTCAGAGACCTCCGTGATGGAAGAGCCAAATTCCCGGCAAGACTTAAGTCAACCCAAAACTTGGAAGGATGTGATCAATGGACCGAAGGGTAGCTCTCATGAGGATACCAATAAAAATATTAATTCTGAGGTAAGTTAATCAAAGAGAATCATAAAAGCATTATTTTTCTGACACAGATACAGTGAAGGAAACTTGAGACTCTGACATGTCTTCTTACATTTATGGTTTATATTTAGTCTTATGTTAGTCCATAATTTGTTTGGTAAGGGGCAGTGGTATGTAAAGCATGATTTTCATCTGTAGAACAGTATTTTCTAGAAGTTTAAGAGAGTAAATAAGAAGGTAGTAGTTTCATGCTGAAATAATTTGCATGGTAATCAAATAAGTGATTGTACTTGAATCCAGTTATATCCTGAAAATCCTCTTAGGCCCCACATTCAGTATATCATGGAATGTTTTTAGGACTCTAGACAATACACCCATGTTTTGTTTCTGATCAGAAAGTCACTCTTCCCACCTCTAAGAATATGTTTTAGACCTATAATTACCTTAGTCTTGAATCCAAGAGACTATCTGAAGATCCATGACCAAAGAAAAATGTTTTAAAAATTTTATTTGAAGACATAATTTTTATTCAAAAACCGTTATTTAAAAACATAGTTGGAAACGGTGTGCTTTAAAATATTTTTCCTGGGGCGCCTGGGTGGCTCAGTCGGTTAAGCGGCCGACTTTGGCTCAGGTCATGATCTCGCGGTCCGTGAGTTTGAGCCCCGCATCGGGCTCTGTGCTGACAGCTCAGAGCCTGGAGCCTGTTTCAGATTCTGTGTTTCCCTCTCTCTGACCCTCCCCTGTTCATGCTCTGTCTCTCTCTGTGTCAAAAATAAATAAACGTTAAAACATTTTTTTAAAATATATTTTTCCTATTGTCACTTTAGTGATTGTACAGATATAGCCACACCAGATAAAAAGAAACCAGTGCTCTTCTGGTTTGCTCCATCATCACTGCATTTTGATAACCACTCAGGGAATTCAAAGTCAGTCCACATTGAAACTGAATGCTCTTGGAAGGAAAGACAATTTCACAACGCACTAACACAGAATGTATTTTACTAAATATTTGATAGTATACTAGATATTGAATTATTAGGTTGCCAATATCTTCCTTATTGGGGCTCAGGCATTTCTTAGAGTGCACCTACTGAAAATTATGATCAGGCAAGCTTGTTTAGTTCATGATTTTTTAACATATTAACAAAACAGATTTTCCCTCCTGCTTGAAGAGATTGATGTATGAGTTCTCTTGAACCATTTAGCTCCTCTGCCCTAACTTATGCTTTAGCCTTCAATTCCATTTTTATTCTGCTTCCAAAAACGGTGAACAGATGTGAAATACAGTCAGGAATGGGAACACATTGACAGGACAGAAAAGTATTGATTCTGATTAGTCATTTTCAAATCTTTATAAAGCATTTTTTATGTAAAGTCACTGCAAAATTGAGAGTATCTAAAATGTAGAATATTCATAGAGATTAAAAGGGAAAAGACATAAGTCTCCACAAACATGCATGTTAAAGAATAAAATGCAACTCCTGATACTCACTAAACATTCTGAAAGCTGCAATGAAAAATCAAGGAAGCTTTGTTGAAGGAAGCTCCTACCTGAAGACTGGTTAAAGATGAAAACGGGGCCCAACAGCTTCTATAGCAATGAAAAAAGGAGATGATAAGGAATGGAGAATTTCTGGCTCTCTCTTTTTCCTTCTTCTCTGTGCCTTTGCTCCTCTTTCAGAGGACATAGTTTTTCTTCCCTTTTGCCAGCGACAGCTCCAGCAGTGGTGGCAAGAATCGTGTCATGGCCCTAGGTAGAGATGTTAATATCGCTTCCCCCATTTTCACCCCCTCTGCTTACAGTGCGTCTTCCTCTGCCACCTGGTACTGGCATGAGGATAGAGGCAGGGGCTGGGGCTGGACAAAATGCTTCAAAGGAAAGTGGTCTCAGCCACTCAGCCAAAAATATGTTTGATGTGGGGTCTGCAGTGGTGGAGAAAACAGGACTAGAAAAGATAGGCAACAAAGAGGGCAGGAATGTGCCAGTTCTTCATCTGTGGGAGGCTTATGGAGAACAGGGGCTGCCTACCTGGGATATTTCAGGAATAATATTTTGCGAATGCAGGTGGTATTTTAAATTAGTTTCAGAGGGGTGCCTGGGTGGCGCAGCTGGTTAAACGTCCAACTCTTGATCTCCGCTCAGGTCATCATCTCACATTTTGTAAGTTTGAGCCCCGCTTTTGGCTGTGCACTGATGGCACAGAGCCTGCTTGGGATTCTGTCTCTCCTTCTCTCTGCCCCTCTGCTGCTTGTGCTCTACCTCTCTCAAAATAAATAAATAAAATTTAAAATAAATAAATAAATCAGTTTTAGAAATGAGCATTCATGTGATGAAAGCATTTAGCAAAATAAAATTGTTCCTATGAAAACTACTACTACTGTGATGACCTACCTGTATTTCCCTAATTTGCTTTAGGAGGATATTGTTGAAGTGGTATCTTCAGCTACTGAGGAATCTTCCTTAACGAATGCCGTCTTAGCACAAGAAATTGAAAATAGTCCAGTTGAATTGGTAAATATATTCATAGTCTTGAAAATTTTCTTAAAAACTTTGTTCTTAAATAGTTAACACTTTATTTACCTAAAACTTGGTTTTAGAGCGATCATGTTGCTTTCTAGAATTATTATTTAGTGATCTCAACAAAGAGATGTGTCAGTAGTTTGATGAAACATACTCAGAATTGCTTTGACCTTTTTTCTTTCTTTAATTTATTTTGAAACTTCAAATAATTTTAAATAAAACTATGAGATTTTATATTATCAAAGGTAGTCATGGGTTAAAAATATTGAGAATCACTGTTGAGTTATTCTTGTAACAGCTTTAAAGAAACAGAGCTATATTAGAGGTACATCCTATGGCATTTGAAATTTTACTTCATTTACGAATAAAAAAACAAAAAACAAAACAATTTTTATCCAAAACATTATATGGCTCAAGGCCTATACTGTCTGAGATTTTTAGAGATCAGAAAGAGAAAATGGTCTGCTCAAAGGGTCACAATTAAATAGCAAAGCGAGAAGTAACATGGACTTACCTGACTTCATGTGTATTACTGTCTTCTTTCTCTAGTCCTTGTACCACAGTGCTGAAGGCATTTTTAAGATTGTAATGAATTCCTATTAAATAATATCAAAATAGCTATTAATGCCATAAATAAGTTGTTCTTAAATAAATAAGCTTTATAATGAGTTCCGAGACTATTAGATTGTTTTTTCATATGTGGAGAACACTGCATTCTCTGGATAATCTAAGACGGGAAAGATACCTGAATTTTCTGCCTGAAATATCCAAACAGCTAAGCCAGAAGAGGGTTGGTTAATTTTCGCCTTTCTCTTTGCTTCTGTAGACACAGGTTATTTTCATACATGGTCAAGCAAACCACAACACAGCACAAGTTCAGCTGTTTTTAATAATCCACTGGGCTTTCCACACAATGGATTCAGCTGTAGGGTGTCCAGATAGATCAAGTAGACAGGCTTCAGCAAAGTGCATAGACTATTTTTTCTGAGCCTTTTCCTGGCTAGTTTAGTCGTGCGATATAGGTGAAGCTGCAATCTCATGGATCTTTACCAAAGAGTTGGGCCACTGCTTTTTATATATGAAAAACAGCATTTGTGTATTTAACAATATAATAAACGTTAGCAATTGGGTGAATTCATTTATCCCAGGGCAGACCATAAAGAAATAAAAATAAATTGTACCTGGAGAGATTCGGAAAACTCTTCAGAATGAAGTGACCATATTTTCAGATCACCCCTTTTGGAGCATAAGAAAGGATGCTATACAATCAGGACCAGGAAGCCAGCATAGCTAGTAGGAATGAGGACTCGGCAGTCCCCTTAGCTTTAAGTGATTTAAAATACTATCCAGAATATTCTGGAACTTTCTGAAATCATCTTGGAGTCTGTGAAATTGAAAACACTGTGGGAAGTGTCTTGGCTTCAAAGGTACACATGAAGGCTTGACAAACATTGCACCTCTGATAAGGATGACACAGAAGGTATTGGGTTGCATGGTCAGAGCTAGCCTGGGAAAAATTAGAAAGTAGTTCAGATCTGTGCCACCTTCGTCCCTGCCACCCCCCGCCCCTGCACTTTGTAGGCTTGCTCTTTTGTCAGATTCATCAGCACCTTTCCTATGCCCAATTCTGTTCCTAGCTCATAAAGTGTTAGGTGATAAGAGCTTAGAGTGAGTTCCTGTGAAGGGATTTCAACTTGACTGTTTTTAAATATTGAGGTGTTTCTGAAGGTGGCTAAGCTTTAAAGACTGAAAAGAACTAATCTATTCAGATAATATGACAGGAAGTGGGTTGATCTCTTTTGGACAGGTTACCCTTGAAATCCAAAAGGTTCTAACCCAATTGTACACAAATTGCTAAACATCATTTATTAATTAGAGCTTCTGTATCACCAGGGAAGTTCAGATAAAGGCCTTTAACAATGCAGTTTTTCTATAGCTTTATGTTTACCCTGTCAACTCAGTTCAAATTTACCAGAGCTGGGATAGTCCTAACCAAAAGTCATGGCTGACTTAACTTTTAGAAGTAAGATCACAGTGCCCTGGTATGCATTACCAGTAAAGACTGCAGAATCTCCTACTCTGGAGCCCCTCATCACCTAGGGAGCATAGATATAACCCTACAAAGACTGATCTAAAGTTGTATGTTTCCTATTCTGTCGTCAGACTATAAGCTCCTTTATTTAGCAGGACCCAGTGTTATGGTTGGGTTTCTTGTAGCAGCTAACACTGTGCTTAGCAAATAGTAGCATTCAGTAAAATTTGTTTCATTGAGGTATTTTATTATTCATTCAAACAGGAGTCATTGGGGAATCAACAAAATTTTGAGGCAGAGAGGTGGAATGGAAGAATTCTTAAGATGTTAAATAGCTTGCAGGTAAGATGATAGGGTTTGTCAATCCTATTTTTTTTTTCAAAATAAATAAAATGTTGACTTCAATCTTCTAGACATTAATAAAAATGAAATCATTTTTGAAGTGCCTGGGTGGCTCAGTCAGTTAAGTGTCCGACTCTGGGTTTTGGCTCAAGTCATGATCTCACAGTTCGTGAATTCAAGCCCCTCCGTCGGGCATGCAGGCATGCTGCCAGTGTGGAGCCTGCTTGGGATTCTTTCTCTACCTCTCACTCTCTGCCCCTCCCTGAATTGCATGTGCTATCTCTGTCTCTCTCTCAATAAATAAACTTAAAAAAAAAATCATTTTCATTATTTTTTTGTTGAGACCAAATTCCACTAGAATGAAATGATTTTGAGCAGTATACCCAGGGCTAACTATGAGAGTTTGCTTTTGGTGCCTGCATATTCTAAGCAACTTCTTACCTATACTCAGACCTCTAGACATCTAGTGCATTTCCCGTTCTTGGGTTTAGGAGGCTATCAACCAATTCTCTATATGGAACTAAGTTTATAATAACATAAGTGTGGGGCACCTGGATAAGTCAGTAGATTGAGTGTCTGACTCTTGATTTCGGCTTTGCTCATAATCCCAGGGTTGTGATCCCACAGTCATGGAATCGAGCCCTGTGTCAGTCTCCATGAGGAGCATGGAGCCTGCTTAAGATTCTCTCTCTCTGCCCCCCTCTGCTCCTCTTCCCCACTAGGGTGCGTTCTCTCTCTCTCTTAAAAAAAAATGGTATAAGAGTAAAACAGATAATTTTAAATTTAACTTATATTTTTATCAAAATAATACATGTATATAATTTTAAAAGTTACATAGTTCTATGCTATAAGAATGAAAAGGAAACACAGAAGATTTTTGTCTACTCCTCCTTATCTCTAAGTCCTGCTCACCAGAGGCAACTATGTTCAGCTGTTTCTTTTAGCATTTATATCTATATTTCTAATCATATGTTCTTACTGTTCTTTCTTGATATTTCAGCTTTAAATTTTACCTGTTAACTTCTTTCAACATAAAAGGAATATTTCGCTGAGTTATATCTCCCCTAACCCCAGTCTGTTTTTAGCACAATATTCAGTGTTTACAATAATTGTAACAGTTATGATGCAGATTTGATTTTGACTAAGAGCCAAAATACCAGTGGTTTAAAAAGATAAAGTATAACCTGGTATGGCTGCTCTGCTCACAAAATATCAGAGACCTAGGTTACCTTTATCTCATTTCCTTTATTCCCAGGATCAAAAATGGCTAAGTACCCATCATGTCTACATTCTGTTCAGCAGCAAAAATTTCTTTAAGTATACAACAGAGATTGTGTGTATCACTTCCCACATTTCATTGCCTAGGACTTAGTCACCTTGCCACATCTAGCTGGGAAATGTAGTCCTTTGTCTGGTAGCTTTGGGCTCAGCTAGTAATTCTATTCCTATGGAAGACAGGAATGGATAGTAAGAGACAATCAGCAGTTACTGTTACTATGGAGGGGCACCTGAGTGGCTCAGTCAGTTAAGCGTCCAACTTCTGCTCAGGTCATGATCTCGTGGTTTATGGGTTCAAGCCCCGTGTCAGGCTCTGTGCTGACAGCTCAGAGCCTGGAGCCTACTCCAGGTTCTGTGTCTCCCTCTCTCTCTGCCTCTCCTCCACTCACGTTGTGTCTCTCTCTGTTTCTCAAAAATGAATAAATGTTAAAAAAATTTTTAATAAAAAAACCCCAAAGACTATGTAAAAATTATTGTCATTGCATTTCTTTTCTTGTCAATTTTATAGTGCTTTTTTTTAGTTAATCATTGCCTCATTTCCCCCATTTGCTTAGTGTCTATATACTCATCCTTAATTCTTTTTAAAAATTCTCTGACATATAATGAAACCCCGTTTAGTATGGGCAAATGTATCCATTGATCCATCAGTTCCATTTTTTTTTTCTTGAAGATACTCTTTCCAGAGCTCATCATCCTTTTATTCTAATTGGACTAGCTGCTCTCTAGGTCTTTTCTATAGTTTTTGTCTTGGGACATTCCTTTATCATAACATGGGAATTCCTTTGTCTCTTTCCTATATTAGTTTCTCTAGTTCTCGATGCTTTGGTCTTCCTTTACTTTGAACTTTTTGGTGGTTAACATCCTCTCATAATTTCTGAGAGAAAGAGTGCATAGGAGATATACACCCTATATACAAGTCTGAAAATTTCTTTATTTTACCTTTAACTTGATTGTATGTCTCTGAACCTAGTTTGAAAATAGTATCTTTCAGATGTTGAAGGCTTTGTAACATGTGTAGGCTTCTTGTGCTGTTACTGAAAAGCTAGATGCTGCTTGGTTGGCAATCCTTTATTTTCTCTCTGGAAACTTTGAGATCTTTTCTTTACTCCTAGTGGTCTGAAATTTCAGGATGATGTGTTTTGATATGGGTCTTTTTTCATTTATTGTGCTGACCATGTAGTGGTTTCTTTATTCTGAAAGTTCATGTCCTTGAATTCTAGGAAATTTTATTGTATTTCTTGAATTGCCTCCTTGTTAATCTGTTCTATCTTTCTGAATTGCCTGTGGATCAGATGTTTGATCCCCTGAATTGCACCTTTAAATTTTAAAGAATCTTTTATCCCTTATATCAATTCCCTTTGTTTTGCTTTTTTTCCTATCCTCTAGAAAATTTCTTCAACTTTATCTTCTAGTCTTTATTGAATTTTATTTCTGCTTTCACGTTTTTTGTTTTCCAGGAATTTTTCTTAGTTATTAATTATCGTTTGTTTTGTAGCATCCTTATATTTCATTTATTTATTTACTTTTTTAAACAGCTTTATTGAGGTATTATTAACATACAATAAATCATACCTATTTAAAATACAGTAGAACAATTTTGACATATGTATATACCTGTGAAACCATCACCACAATCAAGATAGTGAACGTATGTATCCATAACCCCAAAAAGTTTCCTTGTGCCTCTTGATAATTCTTTGTCCCATCTCTCCCACTGGTCCTCCTCCCACACCTCCAAGCAACCCACTAATGTGGGTTTTTTTTCAATAATCATCCTCATCTGTACTTCTGTTCTAGAAATCTGATTCCAAGTACTAGTCTTCCTAAAAGGCGTTATCTTCATCCATAATTAAATGCTTTATTGTAGCTCAACTTTTTCTGGTAGGTTCATAGGTGCCCTATGGTGACTCTGATATCTTTTTGATCTGTGTCAAGAAACTGGGAGGTGTTTATAAAGCCATATTCCTCTGCCACTAAGATATATAAATATAATTTTACATTTATCACTATAGTTGTTTATAGTCACCCCCACCCCCCAGTACCTTTAAGGAAAAGAAGCCTGATGAGGCTGATAATTTTCATTGTATTTGAAGCCTCCCAAAGTCCTGTGGGTTGTTTTCTGCCTACAAGTCTAAACTAATTGCACCTTCCATGAGGGCCCTTTATTTACGTTAACATCAAAATTTTAAAAGACCTAACATTTGTATAACACGTTAGAAATTTGCATAACACTTTAAAAGTTCTTTTGCATGCATTTTCTCAATGAGCCAAGCTTGTATTCAGTGACCTATGATTTTTTTTAAGTTTACTAATGAGTCATTTGCATTTAAGGATTTCACACTCCCTTATCAAAAATATCAATATTTTATTCATCATGCATCCACAGCCTGCTGGACTTTTAATGATGTTGTTTCTCTTTCCTTTCTCCTTTTCTAATTATTTTTCCAGGAATCCAACAAGATGGGAATGCAGTACTTTAGTCTGATGAAGCTCTGCAGACACAGTGACCGAAAACAAGCTGCTGCCAAATTTTATAGCTTTCTTGTCCTAAAAAAACAGCGGGCTATTGAGCTGAGCCAGAGTGCTCCCTATGCAGATATCATAGCTACAGTGGGACCAATGTTCCATAAAATGTGAAGGAAATCCAGAACATGCAGATTTATGTCATATTTGGAATTTCTGTGTAGATGGTTCACTTTAATGCAGAAGCTGTCTGGAAGCAGCTGAAGGTCTGATCCATTTCATATATTAGCCAACTGCCTATTTTATGTTTGTAAAGTCAGAATAACCATAGCCAGAATTGGAGACCTGTTTGCTCACAGAAATACTGAATTGTAGCTAAGTAACATTTTTAACTTAGCTAACTTGAATGTATAGTATTTACCATTTCCCTGACTTGAATATTGCATTTAGAATATATTTTTAAAATACTATGTGCCTTCAAGAAATATTTAAGGATATTTTTAAAGCTATTTTATATTGGATTATTTACTTAAGTTTTATGGGAGTAATTAATATTTTGTTTCCCCACAGGCGGTAATTTATTTGATTCTAATGCAAATCACCCTTGATTTGACCTAATGCCATATTTTTTAATCTAATATCTTAATTTAAAAGTTCTAAAATTCATCTTTGTCTTAAATTATCTGAATGACTTTTAGTCTATTTATGGGTTATTTAACATTTTATTTACTATTTAATGATTATTATAACTACCATTCGTGTGTCAGCAAAACTAAATCTCTTCTTACGTTGAAAAAATTAGCAGACACTTATTCAGCACGTTGTCTGCAGCTACAATTCAAGTAAAGGTCGTTAAAATAAATGTTCTTTTACTTGGTGTTTACTGAGCATTTTTTACATTAAAACCATTGTTTTTCTTTTTTCTTAGTTCAAGTTTGAGTTAGGGAATTTTCATATAACGCTCTGTGAGCTCCATAGTGTTCTATGAAGTGAAGCTGATAGTACTCTCTTAAATCTCCTTGTATCTAGAGTTATCTTCCTGCAAATGAAATCCTAAATGGCCTCTTTGAATGTATTAATTATAATATTGAAATGTCAAAATTTAAACCTTTAAAAATTTAAAATATTTAAAAAATGTCTTTTATTCTTCTAAAGATACATGATTTAAAATCCAAAAAAAAAAAAAGTCTTTTATTTTTTAAATTAACATATAGAAAAACTGACTTTTTCATTTTGGCACATAGTTCTGTGAATTTTAACACATGTCCAGATTCCTGTAACCACCACTACAATCAGGATACCAACAGTAACATCACCCAAAAAATTCCCTTGTGTTATCCCTTTGTAATCACTGCCTTCCCGCATCCTAACTCCTGCAACCACTCGTTTACATGACTATAGTTTTGGGGTTTTTTTAATGTTATATAAATGGAATCCTACAATATGTAACCTTTTTGAAACTTTCGTTCAATATAATGCCTTTGAGAGTTCTCCAAGCGGTTGCATGTATCAGTGGTTTGGTACTGTTTGTTGCTGGGTAGTATTCTGGTGTCTGGATATAGCAGTTTATTTATCCATTTACCCCCTGGAAGACATTGAAGTTGTTTTCAGTTTTTGGCAATTATGAATGGAGCTGCTTAATATACTCTTGTACAGTTTTTGTGTGAACATAAGTGTATTTCTCTGGATAAATATCTAGCAGTGAGATTGCTGGGTCATATGGTAAGCGCATGTTTAACTTGATAAGAAATTATCAAGTTGTTTTCCAGAGTGGATGTACCTTTTTGGACTCACACTAGCAGTATGAGATTTACAATTGACCCTTTGCTACCTTTTATTTTGACATAATTGTGGTTGTAAAAAATAATACAGAAAGACTTGTATAACCTTTGCCCAGTTCCCCCAATTTTTGCATAATTTTAGTACACTATCATAGGAAACTGACACTGATACAGTCCATTCATCTTATTCATACTTCACCAGTTTTACATGCACTATTTGTGTGTATTTAGTTCTATGTACTTTTTTATTTTTTTTTATTTTTTTTAACGTTTTATTTATTTTTGAGACAGAGAGAGACAGAGCATGAACGGGGGAGGGGCAGAGAGAGAGGGAGACACAGAATCGGAAGCAGGCTCCAGGCTCTGAGCCATCAGCCCAGAGCCCGACGCGGGGCTCGAACTCATGGACCGTGAGATCGTGACCTGAGCTGAAGTTGGACGCCTAACCGACTGAGCCACCCAGGCGCCCCTAGTTCTATGTACTTTAATACATATGTAGCTTCATGTGACCACCACCACAGTCAAGAAACAATAATTCCATCACAAGGATCACTTGTTGGTACCCTTTTGAAGCCACAGCCACCTGCTTCCCTACCTTCCACCCTCATTTCTGACAACTACTAATCTGTTCTCTATCTCCATAAATTTGTCACTCGTGTGACTTTGCTAAACTTAAAAAATTAGTTTTAGGAGTTGGTCTTTTATAGATTCCTTGGGATTTTCTACATGGACAATCATGCTGTATACAAATAAGGACAGTTTCATTTCTTCCTTGTCAGTCTGTTTCCAGTGTGAGGAAGAAGGCATTCACTTTCACCATTCTGTATGATGTTAGCTATAACTGGTTTTGGGAGAGACGAATAATTTTTATCGGGTTGAGGATATTCCTTTCTATTCTTTCTATTTTTTCTATTCTTAGTTTGCTGAGAGTTGGGTTTGTGTGTGTGTGTGTGTGTGTGTGTGTGTGTGCGCGCATGTATGAATTGATGCTGAATTTTGTTAAACGCTTTTTCTGAATTGATTGATTGGTTGATGAGGTTTTTCTTTAGACCGTTAATATGGTGAATTACACCAACTGATTTTTGAATTTTTAAACAGTTTTGCATTTCCAGGTTAACTCTCCTTAGCTATGATATATCTCTGGATTCAATTTGCTAATTTATTTTAACAGCTTTATTGAGACATAATTTACATACCATAGAATTCATCCCTCTTAAGGTGTTCATTTCATGATTTTTAGTATATTCAAGAATGCAGCTATTACCATTATCTAATTTTAGAACATTTTCAAAACTCAAAAAGAAACCCCATACTTATTACAGTCACTCCCCATTCTTTCTTTCCCCACAACTCCTGGAAACCACTAATGCACTTTTTAACTCTCAGACAGTGTATGGTCTTTTGCATCTGGCTTTGTTCATTTAGCATAAAGTTTTCAAGGTTTATCCACATTGTAGGATGTATCTGTACCTAATTCTGTTTAATGGCCAAATCCATTATATGGATATACATTTTGTTTATCCATTCATTAGTTGGTAGATATGTGGTTCCCACTTTTTGACTATTATGAATAGTGCTGCTGTGAACATTAGCATATAAGTTTTTTGTGTATCTGTGTTTTCATCTTTCTTGGATGTATACCTAAGAGTGGAATTGCTGGGTCATATGATAACTCTATGTTTAACTTTTTGAGGAACCGTCAAGCTGTCTTCCAAAGTAGTTGCACCATTTTACATTTCTATCAGCAATGTGTGAGAGCTCCAATTTCTTTAAATCCTCGTTCTTGCTTGTTATTATCTTTTTTGTTTTAATTACAGCTATCTTAGTGAATGTGAAATGATATCTTATGGTTTTTATTTGCATTTCTCTAATAACTAATGATGTTGAGCATGCTTTCATATGGATTTGCTAGTGTTTTATTTAAGATTTTTGCATTTGTGTTCATGAGGGTACTTGTTTTTTCTTAAACTGTCTTTTTCTCAGGGCACCTGGGTGGCTCAGTCGGTTGAGCGTCCGACTTCGGCTCAGGTCATGATCTTGTGGTTTGTGAGTTTGAGCCACGCGTCGGGCTCTGTGCTTACAGCTCGGAGCCTGGAACCTGCTTCAGATTCTGTCTCCCTCTCTCTCTGCCCCTCCCCTGTTCATGCTCTGTCTCTCAATAATAAATAAATGTTCAAAAAATTGTTTTAAACTGTCTTTTTCTCGTTTGGGTATCAGGGTAATACTGGCTTTATAAAATCACTTGGAAAGTGTTTCCTCCTCTTTTCTATTTTTCTGGAAAAGAATATGTAGAATTAGTGTTATTTCTTTTTTAAAAGTTTAGTAGAATTCACCAAATGAATTGTGATACGGATCTGAAGATTTATATTTAGGAATGTTTATGAATTCAATTTTAAAAATAGTTGTGAGGTATTATCTGTTTCATTTTGGGTGACTTTTGTTAGTTTCCAGTTTTCAAGGAATTTGTTCCATTTCATCTAAATTGGTGATTATATAGAGAGAGTTGTTTGGAGTATTCCCTTATTATCCTGTTAATGTCTGCAGGGTCCATGGTAATAACACCTCTTTTGTTCCAGATACTGTAATTTGTGTCTTTTCTCTTTTTTCTTTTCAGTCATACTAGAGACTTATTAATTTTATTGGTCTTTTCAAAGAACCAGCTTTTGGTTTCATTGATTTTCTCCTTTGTTTTTATTTTTTCAATTTCATTAATTTCTGCTCTGATATTTATTATTTCCTTCCTTTGGCTTGCTTTGAGTTTATTTTGCTAAGGTGGAAGCTTAATCGATTTGAGACTTTTCTTCTTTTCTTTTTTTGTCTTTTTAACATTTATTTATTTTTGAGAGACAGAGAGAGACAGAGCATGAGTGGGAGAGGGGCAGAGTGAGAGGGAGACACAGAATCCAAAGCAGGCTCCAGGCTCTGAGCTGTCAGCACAGAGCCTGATGCAGGGCTCAAACTCATGAATCGTGAGATCATGACCTGAGCTGAAGTCAGATGCTTAAGCGACTGAGTCATCCAGGCGCCCCTCTTTTTTTTTTTTTTTTCTTTTTAATTTAATTTAATTTTTTAATTTACATCCAAGTTAGCTAGCATATAGTGCAACAATGATTTCAGGAATGGATTCCTTAATGCCTTTTACTCATTTAGCCCATCCCCCCTCCCACAACTCTTCCAGTAACCCTCTGTTTGTTCTCCATGTTTAAGAGTCTCTTATGTTCTGTCCCCTTCCTTGTTTTTATATTATTTTTGCTGCCCTTCCCTTGTGTTCATCTGTTCTGTGTCTTAAAGTCTTCATATGAGTGAAGTCGTATGATACTTGTCTTTCTCTGACTAATTTCACTTAGCATAATACCCTCTAGTTCCATCTACATAGTTGCAAATGGTCTTTCCTTTTCTAATTTAAACCTTAATGCTATGTATTTCCCTCCAAGTACTGCTTTAGCTGCATTGCACAAATTTTGATATATTTTTTAATTTCTTTTGAGACTTCCTCTTTGACCTTGTAGATTATTTAAAAGGATATTGTTTAATTTCCAAGGGAGATTTTCCTGTTATCTTTCTGTAATTCATTCCTAGTATGCATCATTTTGGTCAGAGAACGTACTTTAAATGAATTTGAGTCTTTTAAATTTGTTAAAGTTTGTTGTATGACCCAGCATAGGGTCTGTCTTGGTCAATGTTCCGTGGCACTTGAAAAGAATATATTCTGCAGTTGTTAGATGAAGTGTTCTATAAATGTTGATTGGGCCTAATTGATTAATAGTGCTGTTTACTTCTCCTTAGCCTTGCTTATTTTCTGCCTACTCGTTCTACTGATTACTGAGAAAAGAGTATTCAACTCTGCAGCTGTAATTGTGAATCTGTATTTTTCTCCTTTCAGTTCTGACAGTTTTTGTTTCATGTATTTTAAAGCTCTTTTATTAGGTGCATACACATTTACAATTATTATATCTTCCTGGTAAGTGACCCTTTTATTTTTGTATAATGATTCTCTTTATCTATGGTAATTTTCTTTGCTTATCTTAACTCTACTTTTTCTCATCTTAAATCATTCATTCCAGCTTTCTCTTGATTAGTGATTGCATGGTATATATTTTTCTGTCTTTTACTTTTAATCTACCTATATCATTCTATTTAAATTTTTTTTAACGTTTATTTATTTTTGAGACAGAGAGAGAGCATAAACGGGGGAGGGTCAGAGAGAGAGGAAGACACAGAATCTGAAACAGGCTCCAGGCTCTGAGCTGTCAGCACAGAGCCCGACGTGGGGCT